TTTAATTTTATTCTGTAACACGCCAAAGTGACGGGCCCACTGATGAGCTGCAGAGTGATGTGACGCAGCGGCAGGAAAACGGCGCGGACAGGGTTCTGATAGGCCACCCGCAAGGGCGGAACCGCATTCCCCAATTTGCACCAGGATTTGCGACCAGGATTCTCAGGGATTCCCGTCCAATCTGCAAGGGCAGTGGATCGCACGGCATTTCCATCTTCGCAGTTCATCACATTTGAACAGCAAACGCCCCCAGCGGCCCGCGCCGCGGGGCTGCTTTCTTCTTTCATCGATCTTCGACCGACACATCGAAGACGTTACACGGCATTGCTAGCTGGACACAATGACGACAAAGGCAGCAACGCTCTCGATCCAAAAAGCAGCAGGGTACTCGGCCCTCAAAACATGTGCGCAAACATGTGTCGACCGGAACAACAACAATGGCGACTTGGAAGGGCACCTCGACTGCGGCGACTCCACGATTCTGGACTCGTGCTTCTGCAAAGTCGGTTCGAGGCCAAAAGCGTCGACCTTCCTGAGCAGTTGCATCCTCACAAAATGCAAATACACCAACTCCGATCTCACAAGCGCCCTAAACCTATATAACGGGTACTGCGATTTCAAGACGACAACCGCAACGACGAAGTCATCAACCACAGCAAAGACAACGTCAAGCTCCAGTAAGAACACACCCAGGTCCAATCCCCGATAGCGAAGACCAGCCAGGGAAACTAACAACTCCAAAAGAATCAACAAAAACATCATCCACCGCCACACCCCGCTCCTCCATATCATCCGTCCCAGAAACCAGCTCCGCACCCCCTTCCTCCGAATTCTCCAGCCTCCCACCATCCTCCGCCCTCCCCTCCAGCACCGAAACTACCCCTACCCCCACCCCCGAAGGCGCCGCCTCCTCCGGCTCCTCCCAGGCCATGGCCCCTGGCACCATTGCCGGCGCCGCCATCGGCGGCATCGCCGCCCTCTTCCTCGCCATGGCCATCCTCATGTGGTTCTGCCGGCGTGGCCAAAAAGACGAACCGCACGATCCCGACTTCGGCCGCGTCGCAAAGGGGTCCGCCTTCGCGGCCGGGACCAGCGCGGACACCGCGCAAGCGCATGCCTACGGGGGGTACAAGGGGGGGTTTGTCAGCCAGGGACAACAACCACAGGCGCGATACCACGACTCGGACGCCGCGTATGTCAACGGGGGAGGGGCCACCGCCGCCGTCGCGGGGATGGGGATGTACAACAACAGAGGGAAGAGCGCGGGGGGTTACTCGGATGGGAGCACCCTTGGTGGAAGCACCGTTGGGTATCGGGATAATCGGGGGGTCGAGAGCTTTGATATGGGGGCGATTCCGCCGGCGAGGCCGACGGACTTTACGAGTACGAGTTCGAGTATGGCGTCGACGCCGATACCGATGTCGCCGATGTCGCCTGGGTCGGTTGGGAGTGGGCATCGGTTGATTGCGAGGAAACCGGTTGGGGCGGCGGAGATGGGGGGCGGGATGGGGTTCAGGGCGGAGCTGGATGCGGGGGGTGATGGGGTGAGAGGGGGGAGTTATAATAGGGGGGTGGAAGGGGTGCGATAATACTGGCAGGGCTGGTTTGAGATGTGGCGTGGTTGGGTTAGACTCTTGTCTGAAGTTGGATAGATAGATGGAGAAACATGATATCCTTTCTATTCCAAGACGTGTCTCAAGATGATGTGATGAAAGAAGGATTTTGTATCCAGGGTGGTGTGAGTTATGTTCTTGATTTTTGGCAGGGGGCACAACCCTTCCCTTCCATCGGTCAGCTTTTTTCCATTGATGCGCCCACGTCCAACCTTGGAAGGTTAGGAAGGTGCGTGGTGCAGATGAAAGGGAATTGGCTCCACCGCTCAAAGCCAAGCGGCCAGGTCCTCCCAGAACACCTCCTGGTTCCTTGGGTCAAGCGTTCAGCAATTCACCCAACACAAAGCCTGTTAAAGAGGTTTTGACTGAACAGATGTGCCGAAATTCCTTGAATATGTCTATCAACCAGGCTACCCAACAGAAGTTTGAACTCATGGAGCCTTCTGATTCCCGCCCACCCAACTCCATGGGCAACCGTGCCTTCCTAGAGGCAACAAGCTCGACCTCGAAATCGCATCTTTTGCTTGTTATCAGCATCAGCATCAGGAAGAGGGGTTTTCTTTCCATTGAGGTTTGAGGCTCTGTTGTTCTCACGGCTCTGAACGCCATTGGCTGTCACGAAATGTAGCTTGCCTGAATTGGTGCGTACCCCTGAGCGGCTGAGGCCTGCCACCCCGATAGGTTGCGTCAATCCTGCTTTATAACCTCACCTGTGTTCCCTCACTTCCAGACTTTCAAATCTCGTCATGAATAAGGGGAAAAGTCAAGCAAGCTACAATGCCCGGACGACGCGGTTTTCGAGATCTTCTGAGGCGGGCAACAGGAAGGAACCCGAAAGCTGATGCCTCTCCCTCACCACGATCTACAGCAGCGACGCTCGGCCGCGAGGACTGGAAATTGGATACTGCCCCAATCGCCAGTGGCAGCGTTCCAACACAGCCATCCTCCGAAGACAACGAAATTCAGCAGTGTGCGGACATATCGGAACGGCCTGACATCTACTCACCGCTCAACAGCACGAAGAGAGAGATTCGCCTCTGCCGCATCCTTCCGTTCTCCTTCAGCCAAGAATGCGTCTCATGTGTCCTATCAACCGTCTCCCTCGACGCCGCTCCCGATTTCGAGGCCCTCTCTTACGTCTGGGGCGATGCTGCTGATCGCGTACCCATCATCGTCAACGGCCAACGCCTCTTGGCCACGAAAAACCTCGAAGCTGCCATGCGCGCGTTGAGCTCTCGGGCAATGATGGGTTTTGGGGCTAGCCGTGATTTTACGAGAGTGGTCTGGATCGATGCCCTTTGCATTGACCAGACTAACCTCGCCGAGCGCGCCTCACAGGTCAAGCTCATGGGCGATATATACAGCTCGGCCCGTCATGTTGTCACCTGGCTGGGTGCCGAGTTTGAAAAGCACATGTCCTTCGTTCACACTCATCTGGGCGCGTACCACGAGACGAAGGACCCCTCCGTTTTGTCAGCGACTGTTTCTGCAGGAGATATGGTTGCTCGAGCAGACCACATCATCGGAACCCTCGTGCCGCTGATGGTTGGAGTGGAGATTCCCGACAAGTCGACGAAGCCATACAACTACTGGCATCGTGTCTGGACGGCACAAGAGATTGTCAAAGCCAAACGCGTCATTCTTCAGAGTGGCGTGGCTGAGTTGCCTCTGGATTGGCTACAGGAGTTTCACAAGTACATCACATCGATCGTCTCGGAAGATAACCACCTTCTACTGTCAAGGGTTATCGCCGATACTACCATCGATACTGCCCCTGGGGACGCTTCCGCGCCGTTGCTAGATGTTCTCATCCGCCTCGGATACCGCCATTGCACCAATCCCCGTGATAAGATCTACGGCCTTCTTGGGATCTCGGACCTCGCTGGCTCATCTCACCCCGGTCTGAAGATCGACTACAGCGAGAGCAACACCGTCCGCAAAGTCTACGTCGGTGCAACGCAGGCCATCGCTGACACAACCGGTAGCCTGGATGTAATTCTACAGTGCCGTCCCACACAAACGCCAGCCGAGCTCAACCTCCCGTCTTGGGCACCTAGCTGGACTCCCCGACCCGAGGGAGCACCCCCTTCAGCGATAATAGAACCCCCACCAGTAGTGGTCTGGTCTGCCGGGGGAAAGGGCCCAGCAAGCGCTACATTCTCGACCTCCCCGTCCGGACGATATGATATTCTCACCTCGCCAGGGGTCATCTACGGACGCATTCGTGCGGTATCTTCGCGCGTGCACGTCGACCTCGACAAACTCAACGTATCAACCACCTCCTCGGCCTCGAGAAATACCGATATTCTGCACCACCAGCTCACACAAGAACTCGCGAAGGCGTACACCGAGCTAATGACACATCTCTCCTCCCAACATGGCAGCAACACGCTTAAGGGCACCAGCCTGCCCATCAACCTCCTCTCCACCCTCAACCCTCTTCTCCCAGACGCGTATATTAACCTCCACGCATTACGCCAAGATCTCCTCGTCTTCATGACCTCCCTCTACCTCCAAGGCGAGATCCCCCTCCCTCCGACCGCATCACTGGTGTACCCCCCTGGAGACATCCACCACTCATTCAGCCATGCAAGTAGCTTGCACGAAGTGATTAGTTACACGGCATACATGCTACAGATAAGCTCCCTGAGCTTATGCGCAATTGAGACTGAGAAGTCAATACGCTGTGAGAACCCGCGGGTTGATAGGAGGGAGAGACTTCTCAAGTCGGACAAGGTGCTGCGGAAGTATAGGGAGTTGTGGCGCGGGGAGTCAAGGGGCTCGATGAGACTGGGGCTATGTCAGGATATAGTGAAGGATGGAGATGTGGTGGTTTTGTTGAGGGGGTGTCAGAGTCCGGTTGTGCTTAGGGAGGTTGATATGGAGGATGAAGGGATGATGGCTGAGGGTATGAGGGAGAGATATTATCGGTTTGTTGGGGGCTGCTATATCGACGGGGTTAACGAGGGGGGTGTGGATGTGGAGGGTGGTAAAGGGGGTTGGGGGGAGATTAGGTTGATTTGAGGGGGATGACGTTGACTTTCGCCTTAGGACATTGATTTGCCAGCACACGATTTCGAATAGGAGTGTGTTTGATACATCTCTAGATATTAATCTTCTTTTGCGGAAGGGATGATGACACTTGAAGTTAAAATTAAAAGAGAATTGGGCGAGCCGGGAAAACGCTGGAGAGAAACAACGTTGAATACGCTCAGGAACAGGCTGACCACTACGCTACCCGCCCGATGGCGTGTCAAGAGGACTGGCATGAGAGGTGCCCCCTGAGGGTTAACTTCGAGCGTGGCTGCAAAATGACACCTCCAAAACGCCACCAACTCATCAAAACCGCTAAAAAAGATCATGTTCTACCCGTGAGAGTAGGGAGTATGGGCAGGCCGGGATTCGAACCCGGGTCTTCGCTGAACGCTGGAAGAAACACGACGCTGAATACGCTCAGAGACGCTCAACCACTTCGCTACCGCCCAACGAGGCCTCAGGAGAAGTGGTATAAGAGGTGCACTCCTACCCCCACAACGCCACCAACCCACTAAAACCGCCCGATTGTTCCCCCTTTTCTTTTACTCTTAACCTGGAGGGAGGTTGGCGGATGAACCCACTCACTGAGTTCACCGCCTTCGTGCCTAGCGAGCTCCTGGGCAAAGTCTTAATGCCCGAGGAAGGTGCCGCTCTCGGCTTCCGCCAGGCTTCTTGCCTTGCCCCGTCGCTCCTGCTCAGTCTTGTCAGTTTGGGCAATTCGCCAAGCGGGGGACTTCCGGATTTGGTGCGCGAGGCTCTGACCTGCAGCAGTCAAGACATGTCACACCAAATTCCAAATTCCAATTTTAATGCCGAAAGGGAGGCATCGGGTGATCTCGGCTTCCCTCATCAATCTGAAATTCTTTACTTCCAAACAAAATTGGGCCATTGTCCCTTTGAGAAAAGCCCTCCGTCAGTGCTCTGCTCCGAATTGCACCTCGAACGACGACCCTATCGCGGGCCCGAATTTGAGCACCCCCCTCCAGCATCAATGTGGTGTGCAGCATGCGTCTTGAGCGTCCATGGGGCCAATAAAATCATCGCTGATACATGCAGGACAAGGCAGGCATGCTGTCTGCCGGCTTCTGAGGCCACTTGATTCCCTTTTTCACCGAGTCGAAATTGCCAGCGCATTGACATTCGGCCCCAACGACGGGAAAGAATTGGCCCCAGGAGCCCTCCCTGAGAGGTATTTTAAAGCGGGGTCCCCACTTGGTAGTGTCGCTGGGAAGTTGGAACTGATTTCTCTTCCAGACATCGGCGATGTTCCACTTAGAGGGACGAGACCCATTCTGCAGTAACTTCTCGTTGCAGAATTGAACCGGCAAGATTCCCACCATTTGGAAGGCCTTTCTGCCCTGTTTTTCTTCTCTCTCCTCTGGACTCCTGGGAACAGCAGTGACTATCTATCGGCGTTGTCAACGCGATAACCAACATACCCAGCTTGCCTCAACACTGTTGAACCATCGTGGTTACGAGCCCCCGCACCCTTGCCAGCAACTCCCTATGCTCAGCTGACCGACTCGTTCAATCGACGTTGGTCCCGATACGACGGGAAGCGACCTCTATCAGCCCGACTCAACATTTCCCGAGCCATTGTGGTTAACCATTGCTCCCCGGCGAACTCCCTGCATCCCAAAAGTGGATCGTTCATTTGACTCTCCTCCTCGGCCCAGTGTTCAGTGTTCCTTGAAGATGCAGCAATACCACTACGATCCCCCCGGAGATCCCACTCCCCTGGACCCCAGCGACCTGTGTGACCTGGAGCTCCCGAATCCTCTGTTTGGTCCCGGACAATACGTTCCCACTCCTGTGGATTCAATACCCAATCATACGTTCATGTTACTTCGTCTTCCTTGGAAGCATATGGCCGCTTGTACCTCTATTGAGACTTGTTTCTCAGTCGACGGTGATCAAGCGGGCCGTGTTTCTTGTGGAGACGGAGGCACTGGGTTTATGAATGAGGTGTTGTTTCCCGGAGGCGTGTTTCCGATCCTTCAAGAGGTTCAAGCTTCGTCACCAGGCATGCTGTTGGGTTCTTTGGCGAGTGGTGACCCGGGGTCTTGTACTAGTCCCTGTCCAACTGCTCGACCAAATCCATGCACGTGCACTGATGTCAGACACCAGGCCTGGTGGCGAAGCGCTCAAGAAGGAACTCCGATTTCAGAGTCACTTTTTGAGCCACCACCAGGCCTGGTACGTATCTCCTTGCGTTGGCTTTTGCCCCGTGTTTGCTTTGGTCTGATAGTTCAACCTCATAATAGAATCAGTTTCTCCCAACCTTTGTCGATACATTTTCGTTGCCCTCTGTGACTGAAGGGTCGTATCCAAGATTATCGGCGGCATCGCCTTCGGGCCCTCTGTTTGAGGTCCCATCACTCGATGGAACACAAGGAGACGACGGTCTGATAACAAGCCAGGCTTTCCATGAAGTATCAATCCTGACAGCACTGGGAGTAGATCGAACAATCCAGGACCGTTCCATGGATACGCCCGAGTGGCTTGCTGACATGAATCCCGACCTTTCGGCCATCGATGTCACGGCATTGGCCGTGGATGGGCCATGCAGCACGGATTCTGACGGCAACCATGTCAACCTACCCCCATCAATTGCAGTACTGGGGTGTTCCCAGACGGGGGAAGAGTTGGCAACCGAGCGAGCGGTCGATCCACCATCGTTTCAGCCAAGGGAGGGCAGTACATCCGCAGCCCTGGAAGAGGTCAGTCAGAACGATGCATCGTCACCAAGCTTCTCGGATTCTGACCATCTGTTTCGATTAGCATCATGAAGGACAAGCGAAAACTCCTCGAAAGCGGAGTTGGATCCGCTCCCCGCTCAACGCAATGAAAGCCACGTACTGTCCCCATTGCAACGTCACCTTCCGTACGCCCGGAGCTCTCACGTATGTCTCGTCAAACACCACCTACAGTCCAGTTCCAAACTAACCTGGAATTCATCACCTACCAGCCGCCACATAGAGCGAATCTCCCGCCCGTTCTCCTGCCCCCAGGAAGGCTGCACCTTCAGGGGCGCCTCCAACCGAGACCTCAAGCGCCACCTCGCATCAAACGTTCACCCCGAGTCGAGCGCCGCTGTGCTCTTTTGCCCGGTTGCGGGTTGCAAGTATGCCAGGACTTCTGGAAAAGGCTTTTCGCGACGGGATCATCTTAAGAGACATGTTCGGACAAGGCATCCGGGGATTCATCAGCGAGGGAGCTCGAGCTCGCAGCCTGAGGGGAATGGTAGTGCTAGTTGTGGGGATAGTGATGATTTGTAGAAAGGAGGTGGGTGTTGAAGCATGTGTACTTTGTTTTGGAGGCTTGATAGAGGGTTCTTACGCAAGGGGAGAATATCTGTTTGAAAGGGGAAACAATGAAGGATAGAATCGTGCAAAGGCTCTTAGACGGTCAGCTTTATTCCTGTTTTATTCCTGTTGATTTGACAGCGTCATACTATTTCTACCTCTATTTTGGCTATGGAATCCTCGATGAAACCTGCTTGCCCGTTTCTTTGACGAGAAGACGACGCATCCCCAATCCCAGCATCTATGATTCACTGCCTTTTAATCTCTGTTTGGGCTAGTCTATAGTGTGTGGAATACTGAAAAGGTTGGTGACGGGAATCGCTCTAAAGAGGACGCTCGAGGGAACAGCCCTTGCCTGAGCCCCTGAAATGCAGTCGCCTGAAGGGGGTCTTCATGAGCAAAGCGAACACCCAGACTCTAGATGTGTTGCAGCACTCCAAACGGGCTTAACTTATTCCATCTCGATAGTTCCTAATTTAGAGTTAGACTTCCATCCGACGCCCGTGGCCAAAAGCAGGGAGGGCAACTCACCTGGAGGCTTGCTTGTAATGTCGTATGTCACGCGAGCGATACCGTCAACCTCGTTGACAATGCGTGTCGAGATCCTCTTCAGCAGGCCGAAGTCAAACTCGAAGGGCTGGAGCAAAGTCAGCACAATGAACTTGAGGTCAAGGGGATGGTCCATACCTCTGCCGACATGAAGTCGAGAGTCTTGACGGCACGGAGACTAAACTGGAGTCAGCAGTCATCCCGAGTTGGATTTCATGGGTTGGGCTTACATGGCAATATATCCGTAGACACGCGCATCACCTTGAACGCCAACAGCTGCAATTTGTCAATATCAATGAACAAGAATTGGAGACTGGAGATTTCGTACCTCGGTCTTGGCTGATGGCGACGTAAGCCTGGCTCATTTGGTCGTACACACCGGCCGCCTTGATCTCGGAGATGAAGATGTGGTCGGCAGCACGGGCGATGGCGACCCGCTCAGGGGTAACCTCTCCGAGGATACGGATGGCAATACCGGGACTAGTCGAAAGTTAGTTTAAGTTGCAGATGGAAACTCGGGACACATACCCAGGGAAGGGGTGGCGCATCACAAGATCTCTGTGAATGCCCAACTCCTCGCCAAACTTGCGGACCTCATCCTTGAACATCTCGCGTAGGGGCTCGATGAGTTTCAACTGTCTCATTCGTCAGTTATCTGAACAGAGCATGGCTGCATAAATAGTGGTACCAAGTACCTTGAGAGTATCGGGCAAGCCTCCAACGTTGTGGTGGGTCTTGATGGTGGCGCTTGGCCCCTTGTAAGAAACGCTCTCGATACTGCAAAACGGTCAGTATTCACGCAGCACTTGCGAATTTGTGGCTGCCATACACGTCAGGATAAAGCTATATGACTCGTTAGCTTGATTCCAGTGAAATCTTCCTGAGGGCTCGTACCGTTCCTTGCAAGAACCACTCGACCGGCCCAGCGTTTGGTGTGTTTTCAGCCTCCTTTTCGATTCGGAGAGCCTCTTGTTGGAAAAGGTCGATGACTGTTTCGTAGTTAGTGCGATGCACTCAGGCCATCCAAGCTACGAGACAATCTTACAGGTCGCGCCAATGATCTTGCGCTTCTTCTCGGGCTCATTGACACCCTTGAGACGGCCAAGGAAAAGCTCAGCTCCGTTGACAACAGTCAAGTTGATGCCAAGGTGTTCCTCGAGAGTCTCCTTCACCTGCTCGCACTCATTAAGGCGCATGACACCTACGAGAAACGTCAGTATTCTACTTACATCAGAAACAGGGGGTGATCCTTACCGTTGTCCACGAGAATAGCGTGGAATCGGTCACCTGGCAGTGGTCAGCATTCTCATCACACACCAAGCAGACGACAATCTCTGCAACCATACCGATGGCCTCCTTCATGAGCTTTGCCGCAACAGTCGAGTCAACACCACCGGACACGGCTCCAATGACTTGTGCCGTCTCACCAACGAGATGCCTAATGCGGATGATCTCCTTTTGGATGAAATCCTTCATCACCCAGTTGGCTTGGGCCCCGCAGATATCGATGGCAAAGTTGCGAAGGATCTCAGTACCGCGCGGTGTCTGGTGGGTTTGTCAGTAAATCAACAGCTTCGGGTGACATCTATGCCTA